AACCAAAGTATAAAGAGCCAGCCAGGCTACCTCTAACTTGTGATAAGCAAAGTCCACTAAATTATGAATCAATTTGAGAAGATGTTTCTGAAACATTCAGAGGGCCATATAGTTTCTAACTTGTATGTATAGCAAACCTACCCCTTTTTTCTTGGACCTTCATCAGCCAGCAGACTAATCTATAAGGCATGAAAGAGTTCTGGATCTTAAGAAGAATTTTCTTAGTATTATTTGTTCCAATAGATACATACCACTCCAAGTAGTGAGGTCTTTAGAAATGCACCAGCCGTCAAAGAGGCCTGCAGAGCTGAAGGGTGGGGGGGACACTGGGGGACAATGACAATTTATGAGCAAGATGGGACAGACCTTTCCACCTTTCGCCTTTGAAAAAAATGAAAGGAAATGGCTAGCTCAGTGTTTGGCCCTGAGTTTAAACTCTGGAATTCTTAATGAAAAATAAAGCGAAAAGCTTCCCAGAATTTATTTTTTATTTTTGCTCTGAGAGGCTCTTCTTGCGTGGATTTCTCGGGTTAGCACTGAACCTGCAGCAAAACTTCATCACCACCTGGGAGTGCAGTGTCCAGAGTCCCATCGTACCTTCTTAGGTTGTTTCCCACTGGGACCAGGTCAAAAGCAAAGACTCCAGTGGCACCAAGTCCCGGGAATTGGAAACCAGATGTTGGGGCCTGACCCACCTTCTCACTGCAGGGGCAGCTTAGCTAATAAGGCTCAGTCCTCGGTCATCTCGCGCGGCTCTGCTGGGGTGGCAGTCACAGTGAGAAAGCAGAGTGCGCAGTTTGAGCGTGAGCATCTGGCTGGTCGTGCCACCCCTGGTTGGAACTGTCTTACCATGTAGGTCTCCACCCATACTCCACCTCTTTAGGAAGGCTTTCCCTGGCTGGCAATTCTAAAGTATCTCTCTTCCTTCCAACATATCGCCTTGCTTTTTTAAATTTAATTTTATTTTTTGTCTTTGTACTTATCTTCTTTAGTCAACTGTTTACGTATTTATTTTCCCCACACCCCACCACCACTATGCACCACATCAGAGGCAGGTCCATGAGAAGCACACCCTGATCTCTCCTGTTCACTACTGTATTTCCAACCTCTGAAATATGCCTGGCATATAATAGGTGCTCAATAAATGTGTCAGCCAGGAACTCGCAGGCTTAGCACTAAAGGAAAAGGTGCTAGATCTTTTTCCAGAATCTTCTTTCTATGCCAACCAGCTCTAGAACATGGTCTGGCTACCAGTCTACCTATGAGAGAGCCATGGAATGATTAGGGTAGATCAACATCACTCTAGTAGGAAGAGATGAGATCTGTTTGAATTAGAAGGTATCGACACAATAAATATCAACCTGAATGAATATATTTTGGATGATTGAATGTAATATTTACCATTTACCTAACTAAATAGATCATTACTACAGACAGGTTTAAAAAAAAAAAAGCCCAAGTTAAGGTTTGGAAAAACATTTTATATTTTCCAAAGAAGAAAAGAGTTGAAAATACTCTATACTATAAATCATTCAGGCAGAAAAACCACAGATTTGCCTGTTTCATTTTGGTGAGAATAAAACAGTTGTTTGCACATTCTTCCTGCCGCGCTCGCTCTGGCCTGCCCAGTATAAACACCTTAGCTAAAAAGTGTAACGGGTTAAGCGTAGCCTTCTGAACAATGAGAAGGGCTAAGTGCCATCCTTTACAATGGGCGGGAAGTGTTTTGGCTGATCTAGGAGATCCAATAATAATTGTAAATGGGTAAGTTTGGAAAAGCACTGTGCCTTGGAAACATTTCTGTGAAATATGGAGGCAAGGCATTAAGGCGAAACACACCAAGTAATAAATAATTAGTCTTCCATTCACTGGTCTATTTATTAGAATGACAATAGTACAATATACTTCCCAAAATTCTTATTTGGCTTTCAAGCTTCTTGAATTGTGTTTAAAATTCTTTCAGGCAAGACCAAGAGCAACATAAATGAACAATGCCACAAAAAAATTATTAGGGGTGAAAATCTCCAAGATGACACAACCATGCTTGAGTTAAAAACAAAAGGATCGACATTTTATAACGAAGAGATACATTGTTGAATCCATCAGGAATTCATTTTTTGGTAAAACAATTCCATTGCATCCATTTAATCTCGTGATTAAGAATCCAGTGGGTTCAAAATGATTAATTGGTAACAGCCTATCAAAATAGAAGGCATTGTAGTTGTATCTTTTTGGATAGCAAGAGTATATTAATTACAAATGCCTGGCTCATTATTTGCTCAAGAGTGAATAACAATTAGCTTGATCCTATTGCAACTGTTAATGCTTCTGGTACTAAAATAAATAGGCAATACTGAATTAGGTTTCTGACATTTCCCTTCAGTTTATGATCCTCTGATTGATGCTATATTCAAAATGTACTTAGTCATTTAAGTCACAGGCAGGAAGGAAAATGGCTCCCGAACAGCCAGGAAAAAAAAAAAAGGTGTTACAGGAAGGATATTTCATGGCAGCCCAAAGAACGAAATCACTATGAGATGAATCACAATCTAATATAATTGAGGCAGAGAAAGATCTCAAGCAAAATATTTAAGTTGGCCTTAAAACAACATAACAAAAACAGCAACAACAACCCTTTAGCCCGTAAGAGGTTTGATTTTACAGACAGTGCTTTGGAATATGACAAGCTGCTGGAATACAGCAACTATTTACACAAATGGTCCTGAATGTCAAGGTTCTTCACCTTGGAACAAGCCTCAGGGAGGCTCCAGGTTTGACAGCACCTTCCCCCTAACACACCTACAAGGACATTTCCACAGAGGCTCTGTGTGCACTTATCATTGGGGTGGGCTTGGCTTTGGGTCTTTCTCTGCCCAGACCTCTGAGGTTACCGATGGAGGGATCAAGAAAAACAAGAGCACAAGCAGTTTCTGACTCTCAGAATTTTTGAGATGCCTTTTGTTTCAGTGGCGCTGGTGAACTCGTGATAATGAAACTACACCTTTGTACACAAACCTTGACCAGCATTCTGGAGCACATTACAAAGAAAACCTTAATTTTGAAAGTATCAAGCACAAAGGAGGGAAAAACAAAGATCTCACTGTGCAAAGCTTTCTCTATATATGTACAGAAATATGACTTAGGTTTTAAGGCTTGAAGACCGCATTTTAAAAATGTCTAAAACCAGTGTAGACTCTACAGGGGAGGAAAACACTGTAAATGTTTCATTAAACATTTGTTTGTTTTTTTGTAAGATGATCTTTTGCATATCTGTTATTGCATTTTTAAATAAGATTTGGTTACCAAAGAGACAGGTTCTGGCCCAGTGTTAATTTGAAACTAAAATATATTCGAGAGGTTAACCTGAAAGCAAAGAGCCTATGAAATTATTTTGCATGGTGCCAGAATTTGGTATTTGCAGAACCACAGCTGTGTGGTCTGCAGTGAACCATCCCAGGGACTGTGTTTCATTCAGTGAAGCTCTCTTTTTTCTAACAGGGCCATCTACGCATATTATTTCCCCCTTTAAAAATTATAACTCTTCCTGTCCTCCATATAATAGATATATAAACAGTAGATTTGTTCTTATATATTATTTAAGATTAATTTTTTAGACATATAAGTTTTTATTTTTCATCTTTCATGTAACACGTTTAAAGACCGCTTCTTAAAATTTAAATATTTTAAATGTTTCATATTAAGCTTGTTTGCGCTCTTTGAAATTATCTCCAGAAACCCACTTATTTTTAGTTTCAAGCTAAAATGAAGCTGAATCAACAGACTTTTCAAAAAAATTTCTTTTGTTGTCTAATGGCGCCACGCCTATCATATATGAGTTTTTAAAAAAGGAATCATCTCATTTTTATTGCAGAATCATTTTCTGTTTTTAAAAGCTATATATTTCTGTAGTATTTGAATAGGAAAGGCTGTCCAATTTTATAACACCCCCCCAAAATTACAACTGTCTTATTTTATTTTTGTTTTAAAAGTCATATTTTAATCATCTAATATCCTTGCTGTATGGTTCAAATTCTATAAAACATGCAAATTTCAACCTACCTGCATGTATCACTTAGTGCATTGCTAGCATGACAAGACTCTCGGCCATTTTTATGTGACGCGATGGAGACCGATTTCTCCGTCTTCTTGCTCACAAGTTTTAGATGCAATTGTCACACACACACAAGATCATACGCAGAACAGCTTGGATGTACTGTGATCACGAGAACTGAATTTATCAACAGGAAAACAGGATTGAAAAAAGGAAGTTTCTCATCCAGGGTTTTTCTGAGGCTGTAACCAAGGAGGTGGTGTGTTGATTTTTTTTTTTCCTTCCTCCTGAGAGTTCAAAGCCCGGAGCTGACCACTGTAAAGGCCACTGTCACATTTGCTGAAAATCAAACCACTGATACCAGCACCGAAAATACAAATTTGAGAACCAAGTTGTTTGCACACCGTGGGGTGCATACGAGTTAAAAATAGATCTCACCTTGCCTCCTACCTGCATAATAAACATGTAAGTTTCAAGTGTTTAATTTGATATTCACATTAATTAACAATACAACATACATTATTTAAAAGACAGCAAATGCAAGAAGAAAGGGGAGGCACCATCTGGTAGCAGAGTTTTGTTGTTTTGTTTTTAGGGTTTTTTTTTTTCTTTTTTTGCTTTGTTAAAAAAAAAAAAAGGTGAAATCCTATTTTGAATGTGATGAAAAGCAAACATCCAGAAGCAAATGAATCGGAACTGAAAGGTGATGTTGAAATATCTAAGGCTGTAATGAGGCAAAAATAAGTCTTCACTACCAGATGATATGGCATAGAGAGCATTTACATACTCACATCTGAAATACTAGGCAACGTGTAATGAATTCTGCACACAGCATGCACACACAGCACAAGCACAGCTAATCCTCCTGCCATCTTAGGCTTGCAGGAGCACGAGACACACTGCATGCAGCCCACGGGCGCTGGGAAGGAGGAAGCAAAGGACAGCTCACCTTAAATGCAGTATCTGATTAATGTTGGAAGTGACATTGCATATCAGCCTCAGAGTCCTGGTTCAACTGGGTAGGAGGGAACAAAGAAAAATGTCATCAACTGGTGATGCAAGATGAGCCCAATCACTAAACACTGTTTAGCCAACTCCAAATTCTGCAACCAGACAGTAGAAGGCATTTCATACACTTAAGCAGAGCTGCCGCACAATGACTGTGTCCTTCTGCTTCTGAGAATCAGACAGTCCTTTTGCTAAGGAAGAAAATCAGCCGGGAAGAACACTGTCATGTCTTCTTCTTGAAGAAAGCTTTCAATACAGTATGTATCTGGTTTGGGATGCATTTTATAGAATGTCAATTTCATAGAATTGCTGATAACAACAACAACAAAAAATAAAACTGTTAAGGTATGGCAAAGTCAAAAAAATTATAAAAGGGGTAGCATTTCTAGGTTATTTTTTTTAATCCTAAATGGTGCCGGCAGACTTGTAGAAGAATGCATGATCAGCTGTCTGTATCGGAGGCGCTATAACCTCTAACCACAAGCGTGTAAATGTATCCTGCTAAATGTATCTGCAGTACAGAGCGGCAGATACATCCTCAGCTGGAATGGTATTCAGATGTGAATAAATTTGCTTAAACTTAGAAGCAGAATACAATCAGGACAGAAAAATAAATGGATGCTGAGTTCCTCTGGATGTATAGCTAGCTGACCAGCACGAACGATAAAAGCTCTCCTTAGGATACTGACCTAAATAATGTTGACTTACAGCAGCTTCCTGTACTTGCTCAGAACATAGGATGTGCAAAATGATTTTTCTCCTCCCTCCCCCTCCAAGGGCTAAATTGTAAAGTAACAAGCCATTAACAGAAATCCAAAAGGCAATATTTATAGAGAGGGAGCGTCCGTACTGTAGGAGAAGAGATGGTGCTGTGCTGAGATGCAGTGTTTCTTTGTTTTACTTTGAGGCTTTTAGCTTGGCTACGCTTGCACGATGACATTGACATCATGGAGGTCAGGGCTGACACTGGGGTGCTATCTGTTTTATGAGTGAAATGTTTTCTGAAAATTAAATCTCATCTACTCAAACACCAAATTTCGTGTCCTCTTCAATAGCACCTCTCTGCCCCCGCTGCTCAAGATTGATGGGGTCTAGTTTGGCTGATGTAATAAATTGGAATCACCTTCTGTAGAGATTCCAATACATAATTGTAGGAATTAATTTTTTAAAACAAAAAACCTTTCAGAATTCTTATGCATCCCCTTTCAATCCTTTCTATCAGCGCATGCACACACACACACACACACACACACACACACACACACACACACAAATTGAAGCTCAGATTGCAATGAAATGTTTAACATGTGGAACAAAAAAAAATGTGGAAAGAGCTGCTTATTCAGGATTTTGAAGAAATGCCTAATAAGCAAACACTGTTTTGCTACAAAACCAGTGTCACCATAGCCCCAAAGAGAGAGAAACAGCATAGCTTGCTAGAAAAATTTCCTCCAGATCCTGCCGGCAGGTAAAAAACAGAAGAGCATCTCATTTACCGTGCTGTATAAAACAAGAAGTCTTTTATTTTTAAGGAAATGGAACAGATTCTTTTCCACCCCTTCTTCGGCTACAAAGAAACCATACCCACCCCCACTCTTAGATTCTGGACATAAGCCAACATTTTTATAAAATGCTATGAGACTGATTTTGAATACATAATATTGACATTTTTCTTCTTCACATCTCTCCAAAAGTCTTTCATTGTCTATTGTGTCACTGGATATGCTAATGGTAGTTAATTTTAACACATGCAAAAATAAATGAATATCTTCTGGGGTTGCTACTTTTCTAGCGCCTCTATTTTCTATAAGGACTGGCTAAAAATAATCGTGCTAGCAAAACATTCAAGTTTCCCAGAATTTTTTTAAAGGAGAAAATGTGTTCGAACATCCTGACTTTGGTACTAGGTTTCACAACCGGATCTTTTGTTCCTAGCTCTCAATCTATCTCCTTCCCTCTCCTTCCCCAGTGATTTTTAGCTCCATGTGTGGAAAACACCCAGCCCAGCTCTCTCCCGTACATTTCAAAGTGTCCGAGTCGGGGTGTCCAGATGGCCGGTCATACCTGAACCGCATCGAGTCCTCTTCTCTTTGGAGCACGTTTCTCTCTCTATTCCAGAAATAAACGTGGCTCTAACGGAAACAGTAGCTCCTGGTCTAACATCAATGGGGGAGCCATCTTCCCCACCCCCACATCCTTGCTGTGTGAGCTCTTGGTTAGCACTGACAGCGACAGAAAATTAGAATGGAGTATCCTTAGGCTAATTCCTCCTTTACCATGGGGGTCGAGAATTAGAGACTATCAGTCTGAGTTACAAGGTACCAATGTAATACAACGTCATCTGTAGAGCAGAGTCCTGAGAGTGAGGTTGGAGGAGGATGAAGTGATCACCGAGGCATTTGGTGCTAGCAGTGTCTGTTTAGATATTCCCCGTTAATAACATCCAAAAGCTAGGCATTCATGTTGAAATACTCACAAATTATTATCCTGTACGCTGGTCACAATATGGAATCAACTCTAACCACATAGAACTAAGTCAATGACTCCTTTTCTTGTGGTGATAAAGGACAGTGACAAGGACAGTAATCCATGTCGGGCTCCCAAGAGATGGGTGAATAGTGTTATGTCCCCTTTATGGGGGCAGGGTGGGGGTGTTGCCAGGTGCCCTACTGGTGGTACCCATAAACCAGATACCTGGGCAAACAGTTTCCAAAACTCTTTGTAGGACTCCTTCTCCACCCTCGGCCGAAATGGGCCTAAAAGTCATGTGCTGGTTATTTTGTGATGTTCCCCAATGCTCCATGAGCCAACGTGGCCTGTTTACCAAACCTACTTGTGTTAAACAAATTTGAACAACATTGAAAGCGTTCAGGCAGATGAGCTTGTTTAGGCAGACGTTCTCCGACTAGTAAATCCTGTTTTGTACTTTAAAAAACCATGCTCATGCCTGAACTAATATTTAAGCCTTGTCATGATTACCAGTGGCAAGGGTATGCATTCACTTCTGATTTTTAAAAATTCATGCTCCTCACTAACATCCTCAGGACATATGCACAAACATTAAGATTAAAGACAAATCCCTTTTCCATGATGTAAATATTAACCTGTTTTTACCACTTGGCTGAGTCAAGCACCAGGAACCAAAACTAATCTGGCAGAAGCAGGCCGGAGAAGGATAGAGGCCGCAGTGAGGGGAGCGCCCTTCGCTTTGGTTAAGGCTCTTACTTGCTCGCAGTCCATTGTTCTGCAGCCTGAACGCGTTTTATTTTGGGTCCTGTGCGTTGCAATTAAATTGCATGACTTATGCAAATAACTTAAGTCAAGTATGAGTAAAGCTGGAGCCTCTGTGTTTAAAAAAAAAACACACACACACACAGTCAGGGCACTGAGTCCCAGAGGAATCCTTGGTTGATAAACATTTGGATCAGTTTGCACATTTCTTTACTCCATTCCCTGCATTAAAAATTACAGCTGGTTTCCATTTACACCTAATATAGATACTCAACGTTGGTGGGTAAGTTCGTTATCAGGTTAGGCTGCTTGGATCTACATGTGTTAAAATAAAGTATTTATCAAATATAACATTTTTGTTTAAATTCTTAGAATTTAAAAAGTTCAAAAACTTTTATGAGGTCAGCTATCATATCTGTTTATAGTATATTTAGACCTGGAAACAACACGGCTGCCATCTCTCAATGGCTGAAAATGCAACTGGGTGACATGTTGGCCCCAACGTTGTGGGGAGCCCGGTGCTACTTTGACCACCTGCAGTTTGCCTGGAGATCTGAACAGGGCCTTCTGCTTTCTATCCTGATCAAAGCTAAGTCTATAATAGCTACTATTTATTGAGAATGTACTGTATCCTCAATATTTAACTTTGTTATTTAATTGTGAATCAATAAGCCTGCAAGTTGGATATTAGTTACCATCTGCTTTAGGTGAGGAACAAATTGAGATTAGGAGTAAATAGCAGAGTGAGGATTCAAAAGCAAGTCTGACCAGTTCCAAAGTCTGGGTCTTCCCAGCAATTCTAACAGGATAAAACCCCCCTCCACGTTCTCCCCTGACGTGGGAATCTTTTTACTGTGCAAACTCCTGGAAGAGGGACCCCACCTCCCTGGAGCCACGACTACCCCTGTTGACAAGAACCAGCTTCATTCCCCAGGCCCTGGGAATTTGGGGTACCTGGGAATTTGGGGTACCTGGGAATTTGGGGTACCTGGGATGCTGGGCCAGCAGGCAGAATAGACAGACTAAACCAGGAGGAACGAACGAGACCATGCTGGAAAGTTAAGAGTAGAAAGCAGTAACAAATAAGCAGTAACAATTTTGATCAGAGGTTTGTCATAGTTTGGAAATGTTTTATGAGGCAATAAGTGGAAGAGCTTACATTTCCATTCGAGCAAACTACCTGAGAAGCCCAGTCTTTTCATGTTACAGATGGGGAGACAGGCAGGGAGAGGTCTGGTCATTTGGCCAAGATCACACACTCAATAAATGAATCGACCCATTGGCTGTATTAAAAAGTACGTCTCAAAAGAAAAGTACAGCACAGCTCGTTTCCTGTTACATCTAATATGTTCAGCATTTGTGAGTAACTTTATTAGGTTGTTAGATTGTTCTCATCTAAATAATCAATTATAGGAAAATCAGTGTAACGGTCAGGACTGACCTGGTTTTTAGGTGTTTTGGGCCTGAACAGATAACCTGAGTTGGTATTTTAAGTTCCTTTCCCAACATATTTTTGAAAATGGACTTTTAAAAAGCCTCCAGCCGGAGTAAGAGAGTTTTCTCCATCAAGGCCAGCGTTTCAAATGTATCATTTTAATGATACGTGAACACCCGCACATTTCGCCCCTGTTTCTACCATCCCCTCCTCCTCTGAAGGTCAGTGACTCTAAAACATCCAGCCCCACCTGCTTTCTAGGTCAGTTAGGCCAAGGGCTGGAGTATCGCTGCCTGGCTGTATGGCCAGCTGACTGTCTCACTCATTGGCAGTAATTTTAT